TAACAACTTAATAGGTCAAGATTTGCCAAGTGAATGGTTGTAAAAGATGACAACTTTTAAAAATATTTTATTTTGGTACCAACGACTGAATCCATGAGGTGCTTAACCAATGAGCCACATCCCCAGCTCTTATTTTTTATTTTGAAACAGGGTTTCACTAAGTTGTTTAGGGCTTTGCTAAATTACTGAGGCCGCCCTTGAACTTGTGATCCTCCTGAGTTGCTGGGATTTACAGGTGTGAGCCACCTTGCCCAGCTCAAGAAGACAAGTTTTTTAGGGGTAAAAATTTGTCACCTTCATTTAAACCCATTTACATTTACTTGGGAGAAAAGAAACCAGCTGATGTGAAGCACTCCTGTATTCCAGCTACTCAGGAGGAGGGAGGAGAACCACTTGAGCCTAAGAGTTTGAGACCAGCAACAGACCAACAAACAAATACCTAATATGCTCAGGACCCTGAGTTCAGGTCCCAACACTGCAAAAATAAGTAAATTTTAAAAATCCCTTAAGACACAAGCTTGCTGGCTTTTCTTTGTTTCTTTCTTTTTTTTTAAATATTTTTTTAGTTGTAGATGGACACAATGTCTTTATTTATCCATTTTTAGGTGGTGCTGAGGATTGAACCCAGTGCCTCACACATGCAAGGCGGGTGCTCTACCACTGAGCTATAGCCCCAGCCCTGGCTTTTCTTTTTGTTCCTTAATGGAACTAAAAAGAGACCATGGATAATTTTTTTTTTTTTTTTTTTTTTGATACTGGGTATTGAACCCAGGGGCGCATTACCACTGAGCTACATTTCCAGTCCTTTTTATTTTGTATTTTGAGACAGGGACTTGCTGAGTTGCTTAGGGCCTTGTTTAATTGCTGAGACTGGTCTTGAACTTGTGATCCTCCTGTCTCAGCTTCCAGAGTCCCTGGGATTATAGGCGTGGGGCACTGAACCTGGCATGAATGACATTTTGAATAACTTAATAGGAAAGGGTTCAACCCCCCCCCCCCAACGTGTTTTAGGGAAAGAATGTCTTTTAAGGGAAAAATGAGCACCTTTTATAGTACAATAATTTTGGGTTGATCATTCTATGGGGGAAAAGTCTAATAATATTTTTCTATTTAAGTATTAACTTTTCATTGCTTAAACATAAACTTTTTGTGGCACAGTGGCGTACACCTGTAATCCCAGCAGCTCTGGAGGCTGAGGCAGGAGGATTGCAAGTTCACAAACCAGCCTCAGCAACTTAGTGAGATCCTGTCTCTAAATATAAAATATAAAAAATAAAAAGAGCCGGAAATGTGGCTCAATAAATAAGCAACCCTGGGATCAATCCCTGGCACCAAAATAAGTAAGTAAATAAAAAATTTAAAACAGTAAACATTTGGTGATGGTATATAGTTATGCAGTTATAGTATAGTATGACAGGGGCTGGTGTTGTGGCTCAGTGGTAGAGTACTGACCTAGCATGCATGAGGCACTGGGTTCAATCCTCAGCACCATGTAAGTGTAAAATAAAGATATTATGTCCACTTAGAACTAAAAAATAAATATTAACAAAAAATAGTATGACAGGCAAATAAGGGTGACATTTTTCCAGAGAGGTGGTAGACAACTAGTGTATAGACAGCTATTTTAATTGTTGGTATAAAACACTTGGGAAATATTTAATTGGTGGGAAAATAGATTTCCATGCTTCAAAATTTAGAATTTTTTGTATTCAGAAATACTTGAAGGAAGAAATGAATTTTGGCAAACTTGTTTAATTTTGATGTTGGTTAAGTTGAAGTTTTAACTGTTCTGTTTAAAGTTTCTTGATTTCTGTATATTGGGGAAATTTAGCTAAGAAAAAAGATTGGATATGTGCTTAGCAAGCTGTTGATTTCTTCAGATTTTAGCCATACTTGAAGGCATTTCACTTTAAAGAGCACTAAAAACCTTTATTGCATATTTTCCTTCAAAACTGTGTGCGCACATGCATGTATGTATGCACAAATGTGCACTCAAGCACTGGGAATTCAACCACTGAACTATATCTCCAGCACTTTTTTGTTTTTTAAATTTTCTAAAATTTCTTACCTGTGACATTTTTCACTTTGGATCATATTTGATTGCCTTAAAATTCTTGACCCTTATTACATCATTTGTTTTCTTCAAAGTTTTTCTTGCCTAGGGTGCCCATTTTCTCTTGTTTCCTTTTACTTATTGATATCCTTGGAAATATTAATAGAATAGATATTTACTTTGTTGCATGCTGCTACTCCCCTCCCACTGCTTTTGTGTGCCTGTGCATGTGAGTGTGGGTGTGTGTGTGTGTGGTGGTGGGGATTGAACCCAGGGTCTTGTGCATGCACAGGATGCACTCTACCAACTGAGCTATCCCCAGCCCTCCCACTGCTTTTTTGTTGTTGTTGTTGTCTGCTGTTTTCTCAGAAATCTGACCTTTGGGGCTGGGATTATAGCTCAGCAGTAGAGGTCTTGTGAGGCCCTGGGTTTGATCCTCAGCACCACATAAAAACAAATTAAAAAAATAATAATAAAGATATGGTGTCCATCTTAAAAAAAAATCTTTGAAAAAAAGAAAAAGAAATCTGACCTTGGGTAGAATTCTTGGGTGAAACAACAGAATTCTGGAGGTGATAAAGTGTGGAGCCCTTTTAGGGTTGGAGAATTATCAAAAGTTATGTTGTATAGCTGCTTGGTAACCTCTCTTAGAGAGCACACACTGACTTCAATCTTTATAGCCATTCTCTTCTCAGTGCTTTTCAAAGGTTATATGATTTTTCATATCACAAGAAATTTTTCAGAAAAATCAGCTGGTTACATACTTTTTGCCATATGACACATTCATTTTTTGGTATCAGGGATTGAACCCAGGGGTGCTCAACAACTGAACCACATCACCAGCTCTTTTTTATTTTGAGACTAAGTTCTTAGGGCCTCACTAAATTGCTGAGGCTGCACCAGGCCATGATACTAAATTTGAGACAATAGTTTTTGCTTTAATTTTACCTATACTAAATATATTTATTATAAGTACATATTTTATAACCAAATATCCTTTTAAGTATGTTAATCTTTTAGATGTAGCTCTCATTATGATCCAGCAAATCTCCCTCCAAAAAAGAAAATTGTAAGAAAGCCTGTAGATTATTATTTTTTTTAAAAAACATTTTTTTCAGGTGTAGATGGATACAGTACCTTTATTTTATTTATTTATTTTTATGAGGTGCTGAGGATCGAACCCAGTGCCTCATACATGCTAGCAAGTCTTCACCACAATCTTTAGGGATTAATGTACATTTTAAAAATAATTAAACCTGTGGCTGGGGATATAACTCAGTGCTTTGGAAATTGACATATTTTATTATATAGTATTCACTCTCCACAAAAATAGCCCTTCCGTTCATCAATGTCACCACCTATCTCATAAGAGAAATCTTTAATTAATGGGAGGCTGTCAAGCTTACAAGTAGAAATGTTTTCCAAAATTCCAGTTTTTACATGAAAATCCAACTTTTTCATTGGCAAAAAAGCCATCCCACCCTACCCCCCACCCCCCAAGCATTGGGGATAGAACTCAGGAGCAGTCTACCACTGAAACTCCATCCCTTCCACCCCCCCTTTTTTCCTAATTTTGAGACAAGGTCTTACTAAGTTTTCAAGTTTGGCCTCAAATTTGGAGTCCTCTGCCTCAGCCTCCTGAGTCACTGGGATTATAGGTGTGCACCACCATGCCCTGCTCTTGTGTTTTTCTTGAACAAGCTTGTTTTGTTCATTTTCAAGAAAATGTGTCAGATACCTAAATCTGAATAGCTATGGTTTGTCAGTTTCTTTCAAGTAAAACTGATATTCCATTAAAAAAGCAGCTGCTTCATCTTGCAGCTCAGTCACATAAGTGCTTTTCTTCCAGACAACATCTGCTGGTATACAGAAAAGCTTTTGTGTACATTTCCTATTTTATCACACAAAATATTAAAGATGTGTACCAAGGATCAAGATTTAACAAAATGTATAATTTTTGCTGCTTCATCAAGAACATTTAAAAATGAAACTGGCTCTCCAACACTCAATCCACTCAGACTGTGGTAAAGAATACAATGACTAAATACAATTTGTTGCTTCTTTACTGCCTTACTTGAGTCCTGTTAAGGCTCTAGCTATGTACCCACTATTGCTTTTACATTGCAAGTGACAATGTCAACATGGTGCAAAATTGTGAAAATAATTTGATCTCATGGATTCCTTGAAAGAGCCATGTTTCTGCCCACATTTTGAGAACTGTTTAAGATGCTGTAGATGATCTATAAGGTGGTTTTGACTTGTCATTTTGGTTGTTTAAAAAACAACCTGATTGGGGCTGGGGTTGTGGCTCAGTGGTAGAGCACTTGCTTAGCATGCATGAGGCACTGGGTTTGATCCTCAGCACCAAATAAAAATGAAAAAAAAAAAAAAAGATTAAAAAAACCCCAACCTGATTGATTCTCCAAGGAAGAATAAATTGCAACTGTTTTTTAATTTTGCCTTGAAATATGCTAGTTCCTAATTTTAAAAAAGTCCATTAGTGTACATGGCTTGGATTTATATTTCTGGGCTTCTCTCTTTTAAATAGCATACCATTTTATATTTGTGGGCCCAAAGAGCTCATTCTGTTACAGACACTGAGTAGCTTTGTTTCTGACAGCTAGTAGTCAGCTCTCTGTTTTAAAACAATCACTTGGGTCCTGCTGGCTCAACTTGCAGTTGTCCTAGTCCTAACCCTGTCTTAGCCAAAGACTATCACACAAAGGCCTTGTGTGCAGGGTGCCCTACTAATAAGGAACATGTTGTCGTCTCAACGGATTAAATCTGCTTTGGTATGCATTCCCTTCCCAAATTTCTCACTTATTTCCTCTGTTTGGCTGGTTATTTCAGCAAAACATTTTAATGTGAAGATAGCTTCTCATTATTACATAGTTCTAGTGGAGGGGATTACTGGAGTAATATAAAAATGTTTCTTTCTCTGTGGTAGGATGTGATGGAGCTGCTTGAAGAAGATCTCACGTGTCCAATTTGTTGCAGTCTGTTTGATGATCCTCGAGTTTTGCCTTGTTCACACAACTTCTGCAAAAAATGCTTAGAAGGTCTCTTAGAGGGGAATGTGCGGAATTCGTTGTGGAGACCATCTCCATTCAAGTGCCCTACATGCCGGAAGGAAACCTCAGCTACTGGAGTTAATAGCCTGCAGGTTAATTACTCCCTGAAAGGTATTGTGGAGAAATACAACAAAATCAAGGTCTCTCCCAAAATGCCAGTGTGCAAAGGACACTTGGGGCAGCCTCTAAACATTTTCTGCCTAACTGATATGCAGCTAATTTGTGGGATCTGTGCTACTCGAGGTGACCACACCAAGCATGTCTTCTGTTCTATTGAAGATGCCTATGCTCAGGAAAGGGATGCCTTTGAGACTCTCTTCCAGAGTTTTGAGACCTGGCGCCGGGGAGATGCTCTTTCTCGTTTGGATACCTTGGAAACCAGTAAGAGGAAATCCCTGCAGTTACTGACTAAAGATTCAGATAAAGTGAAGGAATTTTTTGAGAAGTTACAACACACATTGGATCAAAAGAAGAATGAAATCCTGTCTGACTTTGAGACCATGAAACTTGCAGTAATGCAAGCTTATGACCCAGAGATCAACAAACTCAATACCATCTTGCAGGAGCAACGAATGGCTTTTAATATTGCTGAGGCTTTCAAAGATGTGTCAGAACCCATTGTATTTCTGCAACAGATGCAGGAATTCAGGGAGAAAATCAAAGTAATCAAGGAAACTCCTTTACCTCCCTCTACTTTGCCCACAAGCCCTTTAATGAAGAACTTTGATACCAGTCAATGGGAGGACATAAAACTAGTAGATGTGGATAAACTTTCTTTGCCTCAAGATACTGGCACATTCATAAGCAAGATTCCTTGGAGATTCTATCAGTTATTTGTGGTACTCCTTCTACTTGGCCTCCTTATTTTCCTTATTTTCTTTGGTCCTACTGTATTCCTAGAATGGTCTGTATTTGATGAACTGGCAATTTGGAAAGACCATCTTTCGAATTTCAGTTTTTATCTGACTAAATCAGCTGATTTTGTAGAACAATCAGTTTTTTACTGGGAACAAGTGACAAATGGGTTTTTCATTTTCAGTGAAACAGTCAACAATTTTACTTTGATGGTGCTAAATAATGTGGCCGAATTTGTGTGCAAATATAAACTATTATAAAATCTTCCAACTCTGCAGTTCTGTTTTTTGATAGAAATTATTAAGAGAATAGGTTAGTAATTCAGATTTTGTCAAGATTCCAATCAGATATTTTCCTCCAAAAGTATTCCTTTAGGGCTGGGGATATAGCTTAGCTGGTAGAGTGCTTGCCTTGCATGCACAAAGCCCTGGGTTCTAATCTCTAGCAACACACACAGAAGTATTCCTTTAAAAAATATTGTCCTGGGGTTGGAGTATCCCCAAGATTCAAAAGTATAAATTTGTTGGGGCTAAGGTTGAAGCTCAGTGGAAGAGTGCTTGCCTAGTATGTATGAGTCACTGGGTTCAATTCTCAGCATCACCTATAAATAGATAAAAAAAAAGTTCTACCAAAAAAAAAAACCCAAAAAACCATCTGATACACATTCGGATTAAGTAGCATAAAATTAAAGGGGAAATTTAGTCATTCAGTTCTGAACCTTTCTTTTTTTAATGAGTGCTATTAAAACAAATATTCTAATATTGGCTTTCTTTATGCTGTCATACAAATAAGAGCATGTCTGTAGTCCCAGCCTCTTAGGATGCTAAGTTAGGAAGATTGTTTGAACCAGAGGTTTAAGACCAACCTGTGCAACATAGATCTGGTCTCAAAAATCCACTACCACCAACAAATCCAAAAAAACCCAACACCAAACAAAAAGTGGGAGGTGAGAGAACACATGATCTAATTCTGTATTGATGTGGTATAGAATTTGGTAAAGCCGGGCTTGGTGGCACATGCCCGTAATCCCAGTGACTCAGGAGGCTGAGGCAAGAGGATTGCAAATTCAAAGCTAGCTTCATCAATTTATCGAGGCCCTGAGCAACTTAGACCGTGTCTCAAAATAAAGGACTGGGGATGTGGTTCAGTGGTTAAGTACACCTGGCTTCAGTCCCTGGTACCAATCCCCTCTCCTTCAAAAACATTTCTGGTGAAGATTGGTCTTGTAAAGACAATTTTTTGGTGGTATTGGGTATTAAACCTAGGGGCAATCTACCATTGAGCTAAACCCACAGCTCTTTTTTTAATTCTGAGATAGGGTCTTGCTAAGTTGCCAAGACTGGCTTGCATTGGCCTCCCAAGTTTTGCACCATTGTGCCTGGCCTTAAGCAACCTTTTTGTGAATAGGTTGGAATTTTAAAGAAGAAAAGACGATGAATAGATTGGGTCTCCTAAGTCTTTCTGGAGGGTTGATTCCTTTCTCATGAAAATGTAAATCTAATGTAAACAAAAAAAAAAACTGGTGTTTTCTTGTGATGTTTACATTTTTAGGAGGGTTGAGATTTAAACCTACCCCTTTCACCTTTTCTATAAAATTTTCAACTAAAGATGATAAACTATAGAATTGTTAGGTGGCTGTGCAAAGGCATAGATTAAAAAAGAAAAAGCAATCCAACACTTGGCAGGAGCAGGAAATAGGAAAGTCACTTTTTTACTGGCAGCTGAATGTGGTTGTGGGTTCTAAAGTATGGCAGGTATACAACCAAATGAATTCCATTTGCTTAAAGAATTTTAGTTGTAGTAAAACTTGACAGCAGATGAAACAATCTGTCCATTTGTAAAAAGTACAGAGTAATCAGAATATTAATAATATACTATCTGCTCACATGAGATAAAGAGGACAGAACTAAAGTACTAAATTTTCTCACCTTGCTTAGAATTCAGATGAAAACAAAGAGATAACCTTAGCTCAGAACTGCCTTATTTCTGTTATGGAAAAAGGCATTCCTTTGAAAGCCCATTATGTGGAACAATTTAGAGAACAGAGTATCTACTCCAGTCAAAAGAGATAAATTAAAGCAGATGTCGGGGGTGCACGCCTGTAATCCTAGCAGCTCCCAAAAGCTGAGGCAGGAATATAAGTTGAAAGCCAGCCTCACAACTTGGTGAGACCCTGTCTGTAAATAAAATGTAAAAAGGGCGACAATAAAATGTAAAGTATGGAAGAAATAATTTCCTACTAGCTATGAGAAAAGTCAAAAATAATCTGCTGGGTGATGTATTTGCTATTTCATTCCTAACAGCAAATATATCACCTAATTTGATGTAGCCACTAAATTGCTAAGGGGATTGTAAGAAATTCAGATTATGTTTCTATGAGAATCTTAACCTCTGCTGTAAAGGCTTCATAGTAAATAAGGGGCCTGAGGAGGAAGAGAGCTTTTTGGCTCCCAGTAAGTTTTTATTTATTTTTAAGCAAATATATGGTTTTTTGAAAATTATTTTAATATATATTTTTAGTTGTTGTTGGGCCTTTATTTTATTCATTTATTTATATGCGGTGCTGAGAATTGAACCTAATGCCTCACATGTGCTAGGCAAGCACTCTGTCACTGAGCCACAACCCAGTCCTAAATATATGTTTTACACCAGGATTTCATGGAGTTTTTTTTTTTTTTTTTTTAAAGTGCTAGGGATGGAACCCAGGACCTTGCTCATGCTAAGCAAGTGCTCTACCACTGAGCTACATCCCCAGCCCCAGCCCCTGAGAATGTTCTTTTTTTTAAGAGTTTGTCTTTTTTCCCTCCATATTTTTTATTGGTTACAGATTAGTACATGCACACAATATAAACAATATAATTTGGCCAATATCCCAAGAAGTTTTAAAAATCAAACATAGGAAAGGGATCTAATTGACATCAATTCTCAGATATAGTGTCAGTTTTCCTTAAACTATTCAGTTTCATGTGTTAGTTTTCCCTTTTGTGTACTGCAAAGTTCCCAAGCAACTCAAATTTGCAAACACACAACTATGGATACAATATTTGTTTTACAACAGTTACCCAGGGATCTAGGTTTCTGTGTTTTGTTATTCTTCCTACCTCTTTTGTTTCTTAATCATATATAACAACATTTAGGGTAATAGTTTGGTTTACAAGTCTTTTAAGTCTGTGCTGATGGCCTGTAGCCTCCAGTTTGAAACTAGAGAAGAATGAGTAGTCAGGAACTGGTCACTTTGAATGTGGGAGGGAAGATATTCACAACAAGGCTTTCTACTATAAAGCAGTTTCCTGCTTCTCGGTTGGCACGAATGTTAGATGGCAAAGACCAAGAATTTAAGATGGTTGGTAGCCAGATTTTTGTGGACAGAGATGGTGTTTTATTTAGTTTCATCTTAGATTTTTTGAGAACTCACCAACTTTTATTACCCACTGACTTTTCAGACTATCTTAGGCTTCAGAGAGAGGCTCTTTTCTATGAACTTGATTCTCTGGTTGATCTCTTAAACCAACACATTCTAGAGCCAAGACCTGCTTTCCTCGAGGTGCATTTCCTAAATCGAAACATGCAAGCCTTTTTCAGAGTGTTTGGCTCTTGCAGCAAAACAATTGAGATGCTAACTGGGAGAATTACAGTGTTTATAGAGCAGCCAGCAGCACCCACCTGGAGTAGTAACTCTTTCCCCCCTCAGATGACCTTACTTCCACTGCCTCCACAAAGACCTTCTTACCACGACCTGGTTTTCTACTGTGGCTCTGACAGCACTACTGATAATCAAATTGGAGTCAGGTTCGTATTTTGAAGTATCTCTCTTCTATTCTGGTTTCTGATATTTTCCCTCAAAATTCAAAGTTCCTCATGCCTAAAACTTTTCTTAGAAAAAAAGATTTTTGGGGTAACCAAGGGAGTTGGGTAGAATGACCAAATATTTTCTAAACCTGGACACTTCAGAGTAAAAGGTATTATGCAGGACACTAGGAACAAGACAAGACTGCCTAGAGAAAATGGGACTGTGGTCATTCAAATTGTAGGAGGAAATAATTTTATAGATTATGTTCCATTGCTAAAAAGTTTGGTGCCAAATCCCAGTGACTTGGGAGGCTGAGGAAGGAGAATTGAATGCTTGAGGCCAGCCTTGGCAATTTAGTAAGACACTGTCTAAAAATAAAAAATAAAAAAATGCCTGGGGGGCTGAGGATATAGCTCAGTTGGTAGAATGTTTGCCTCTTGTGCACAATGCCATGTGTTCAATCCCCAGCACCACAAAATAATTAAAATGAAAAAATTAAAATTTGGCTTAGAAATGAATCATTTTGCCAGGTGTGGTGGCGCACGCTTTAATCCCAGTGGCTCAGGAGGCTGAGGCAGGAGGATTGTGAATTCAAAGCCAGCCTCAGCAGTGGTGAGGCACTAAGCAACTCAGACTCTGTCTCTAAATAAAAGTACAAAATAGGGATGGGGATGTGGCTCAGTAGTTGAGTGCCCCTGAGTTCAGTCCCCAGTACCCCCAAAAAGAAAAGAAATGAATCATCTTATTTTTTCAAGAGATTCTTTTAGTGATTCACAGAAAGGCTCAGTAGTTTCTCTTGACTTCCTTATATACTCTGTATCTATTCTTTCAGTGCTTAAATTCAACTATTGATTTTTCTTCAATGAAGAAAAAAAGGCTTTTATTTTTAAATGCCCTTAAAGGAAGATATCTATCATGGCAAATTTGGTGTCCTGGTATATTCGTGTCTCTTATATATCTCAGAAAGTTGGGATAGGCTGTCAGTTTGTCATGGACAGCTTCTCTTGAGTCAGTTATTCACTTTTCCCTGTTTTGGGCTGGACTTAATGGCTGATTTCCACCCTGGAGTCAGGGATATAGCAGCTCTCACTCCTGTTAAGAATGTCTTAATGCTGTCTCACTATTATTTTACCAACTGAAAGTTGGTTTTAATTTTTAGGAGGAAAATTAGAAAGCCTGTATGTGTTCTTTTTTCATAGCACTTAAAATAAAATACACTTTTTTGGGTAAAGGTAAATAAGACATATTTTAGGATACTTTAACTTGAGCAGTAGTCATCAAGAAGAATGTAAGTGTCTACCTTTCCTACAACATACTCCTTGTTCTTGCTTACCAAATGGAGAACACTGGATAGTATAACCAAGTATGGTAATACAGAAGTTTTTACAATTCATACTTTCTTGCCCTTCAAAAGAGGCTGAAGTGTCTGGGAAATGGGAACTACTCAAATAAATAAACTATGAAGAAAATCTAAGGCCCTAGTTTTATTTCAAACTGTTTTATTTTTTATTTATTTATTTTTTAATATTAATATTTATCTTTTAGTTTTCGGCGGGCACAACATCTTTGTTTGTATGCGGTGCTGAGGATCGAACCTGGGCCGCACACATGCCAGGCAAGCGCGCTACCGCTTGAGCCACATCCCCAGCCCCTATTTCAAACTGTTTTAATTCTATATACTTTCGTTTCATTGTTGGGATACTTAAGTAAACAAGATCAATCTTTTGGTTTACAAATTTCGATTAAGTACTTATGACCTTGTGATCCCTTTTCAAAAAGGTACATGGGGAAACTGATTTTTAAGAAGAAATAGACCAGGTAAAATAGAAATAGACTGTAAAAAGAATATGTCTTGGAAATATTAAATGCTCTTTAAACTATGCATGTAGAGGAAGTGATTGTAATCTTGAAAAATGAGATTAGAAACTGAAATGGGACTATTGTGTGTACACAGTATCTAATGGCTCCTGTTTTGTTAAGTGCATTTTAAAAACAGTGCAGAATTATTTTACCTTCATGTGAGAAAGGTATTATATTTACACTTCCACAATAGATAACTTCTAAAACTAGAAGCTAATTTTTAAATTAACATGTTTTCCTGTCACTATATGGTTTATTTTGTTTTCTGTTTTGCAGTGCTGGGTTCAAGCCCAGGGCCTCAGGCATACTAGGCAAGTGCTCTATCACTGAGCTATATTTCAGTTGTTTTTAAGTTCAGAATTTTTCCCCCTTATGTTTGTGGAGTGTTTTGTTTTTAAATAATATGTTATAGTGCTAGTTTAAAAATAGAGATTAATAATTTGAATAGAATAACATGAGAATCTGTAGTGATAGGCAAAAACTCTGGCCTTAAAAGGCTCACCATTGGGGCTGGGGCTGTATCTCAGTGGCAGAACACTTGCCTCGCACATGTGAGGCACTGGGTTTGATCCTCAGCACCACATAAAAATGAATAAACGAAATAAAGATATTGTATACATCTATAACTAAAAAATATTTTTTTAAAAAAAGGCCCACCATTGAGGAGCTGGGGTTGTGGCTCAGCAGTAGAGCATTTGCCTAGCATGTGTGAGGCACTGTGTTCGATCCTCAGCACCACATATAAATAAATAAAAAATAAAGGTACAGCAACAACTAAAAAAATATTTTAAAAAAAGGCCCACCATTGAGTATATAACTGCCAAATTAGCAATCATTTTTATTTTTGCCCACTCCCTGGTCTGAATCTGTCTGTTCATATGTTTTTGGAAGATGGAATGTGGTGGAGTAAGATTGAATGTCTCCTTATTCAGAATGATTTACCACTTTGTCTTATTTAATTTAGCAAGTTGCTCAGTTATTATCTTTAAAAAGTTCATAGTACTAGAAATACTTGGCTTGGGCTGAGGATGTAGCTCAATGGTATAACACTTGCCTAGCATCTGTAAGGCCTTGGGTTCAATCCCAGCACCTCCAAAAAAAGAGAAATATTTGCCTTGATTCTTTCAGATCATCATTCACGTGACAGCACATTATCAAGCCCAAGCTATGGTCACAAGATTCTAACCTTTATTCTATCTGACCTCTTTTTTACCACTGAGCTGCAACTGTAGTCCCCTGACCTCTCTTTTTAAACAGGTTCAAATAGAAAAGTGTAGCTGCCTTTAATATTTTTTATGTTGTTTTTGTGGTGCTGGAAATTGAACCCAGGACCTTGTATATACTAGGTAAGCGCTTTACCAGTGACCTACATCCCTAGTCACCCATCTTTGTGGTGTCTTTAAAAAACATTTTAAATAATGGCTAGTGGTAAAGCTCAGTGGTAGAATGCTTGCCTGCACTGGGCCCTGGGTTCCATCTCCAGCACTATAAAGTAAATTAAAATAAATAAATAAGTTTAATTTCCTATTGGTTTCTTTTGTTGTACCCTTTTCTTGTGCCTTGAAATCTTTTCTTTTTCAGTTTGGCTTCATAAGAATCAAGTACTTTAGCTCAGTGATTTCTTGCAAATCTATTATACTTTGTTACCACCTACTGTTTACTATTTGTATATGAATTCTTTTATGACATTCTGTAATTTTCTCTGACAACCATTTCTAGGCTACCTGGGGCTTGAGGGTAGACTAAATGATTTACTAATGTTAAAAAGTCGTATCAAACATTTTAACCAGTTTTTTGAGATGGGCGTTGTTGTAGTTTGATAGTTTGATAATTCTTAGATTTTATTATTGAACTTTTTTTTTTTTCCCTAGAGTGAGTTTCTAAATGTGAGCTACAATAACCACTCTATTTCAGTCATAATCATTTAAAAAGAGGTTAGGGATGACTACAAACATCTTTCTACTCCATAAAACTAGACAGTTAGTTTCTGCCTGAAACTAATCTAAGTTATTAGTCTTTTTCACACATCATAAACAAATGGTAGGAGGATACAAATAAACACTCTTAATAGAAGGGAAGAAAGGAAGCTGGGCATGGTGGTACATGCCTGTAATCCCAGTGAGTTGGGAGGCTGAGGCTGGAGGATTGCAAATTCAAAGCAACTTGGTGAGGTCCTAAGCAACTTACTGAAAAGGGCTGGGGATGTGGCTCAGCAGTTAAGCATCCCTGGGTTCAATCTCTGGTACAAAAAAAAAGGAAAGAAGGAGTAATATAACCACATCTATGCAGGTATGTTATATTGACATTACTAAAGCCAACATGCAGCCAGTCTGAAAAGGTTGGGCATATTTTTATTATGTGCATTGGTTCTGTGGAGTTGCCCAGGGAATAAAATTTTTTGCTATTTCTGCTCCAGAGATTTTTGACCACAAGATTTACTCAACAATGGACAATTATTGAGTAAAAACTGACAATAAAATCATCTTGAAATATCTGCAACATTTCACCTGAAAAAATGGATTTGACAGGAATAAGTCATAAAAGAAAATTCATGTCAGTGCTAATAATTGACAAAATTTTATCTGGAGGAAATTATAAAAGTATAAAGTGTTCATCAAAACAAATTGATTTGAGTAATGTAGCAAATTGAAAAATTGGTAGTATTTACATTGTCCTATATAAAAAAATGAGCCAATTTAATTGTTATCCAAAGTTACTGATTTGGATTTGTAAATAGTCTCAAAAAATAAATTTGGTTGAAAGTAGTATGTTGTATGTCTTCTTTTGAGGTTATAAGTAAATGTATGTGTTTGGCTCTGCTAGTCAAACAAATGCTTTATAATTAAAATGTTTTTGTGTGTTCCAGGTATGTTTCTATAAAACCTGATAACCGAAAATTGGCCAATGGAACAAATGTCCTCGGCTTACTAATTGACATTTTGCTAAAGGAAGGCTTTCATCTGGTCAGCACAAGAACAGTATCTTCAGAAGACAAAAGTGAATGCTATAGCTTTGAAAGAATAAAACCCCTTGAAGTCCTCACCATGAATTCAACACCAAAACTGGAGGCAGAACAGTCTCAGAAAAAGAAATGAAGTTGCCATTATCCTGTTTGGAAATGCCAATGCTGGGGCATCTCTGTCAGTCAAATCTGTACTTAGCCTTTTTTTTAAGTACTTATAAATTCTTTTTTTTTTTTTTTAAATACTTTTTAAAGTTATAGATGGATACCTTTATTTTATTTATGTATTTATTATGTGGTGCTGAGGATCAAACTCAGTACCTCACATGTATTAGCTAAGCGCTTTACCACTGAGCTACAACTCCAGCCCTTCAGCCTAAATTTTTGACCTCATCTACCACATCATCTTTGGGCAACTAGGCCCTCCAAATGCTTAAGCCACACTGAATTTCCTCCTGCTTTCTAAAAAATACCATGACCTGGTGTTTTGCTATATGTTCCTTCTACCTTCAATGCCATTCTTCATGAATACTTACATAGTTTTCAAAAATGAGCTATGGAGGCCGGGCATGGTGGCATACGCCTGTAATCCCAGCGGTCTGAGAAGCTGAGGCAGGAGGCTTGCGAGTTCAAAGCCAGCCCTCAACAACGCTGAGGTGTGAAGCAACTCAGTGAGACCTTGTATCTAAATAAAATACAAATAGGGCTGGGGAATGTGGCTCAGTGGTTGAGTGCCCCTGAATTCAATCCCTGGTACCTTCCCCAGCCCCACCCTCCACACATAAAAAGGGCTATGGAGTTGAGATTGTAGCTCAGTGGTAGAGCACTTGCCTAGCATGTGTGAGGCACTGGGTTTGATCCTTAGCACCACATAAAAATAAATAAAGGTATTATGTCCATCTACAACTAAAAATATTTTTTAAAAATGATGGGTATGGAGTTAGACTTGCTCCCCCCCCCCCCCCCCCCCGTGGTGCTGGGGGTTGAGCCCAGAGACCTGTGCATGCTAGGCAAGCACTCTACCAACTGAACTATAGCCTGGACTGCTTATTTCTAATCCCAGCTCAGCTCAGTCAATTATGAACTGTGTGACTTAGGCAAGACATTTAACCTCTCTCTGTGTTTCAGCTCATCTGTTAGCTAAGTATAATAAAGATGTCTTCCTCATAGGATACATGGGGATAGGATTAAAGGAGATAAAGTACTCAATAATGTTGTTTGGCGTATGGTAGGCACTTGGTAACAGTGATGATGCTGAAAATGGATAACGCACTTTCAACTGAATCTTTTCTGTGAGGTCATTTTCTTTTCCTAAATATATTAATTAACCATTCTTCCTTTATTTTTGGTGATGCTGGGGATCAAACCTGGGGTCTCACATATGCCAAGCATGTATTCTAGAACTGACCTATACACCCAGCAACCCTTCTGTATAGATTTGATGCCATCATAAAAACAACTTTTTAAAAATTGCTTTTAGTTTTTAAGTACTTGACAACAGAATGTATCACAATTCTTATTACAACTTTTTCTTACTTGAATGGAACTTCTTGATCTACCTTAACAGTTTTTATACTGTTTTGTGTAAAGGTGCTAAATACTAAAAATCTTTATTACTAATTAAAACACTAAAAACCTTTGTTACTAATCAATACCTAAATTTAGTGAAAAGCTTTGGAATAATCTCTACCAACATTTAAAATATGCATATTTTGATTTAATAGTTTCTCTTATAGGTGTTATGTATGTCATTTTAAATACTAGGATAAATACCCAGAAGAGGTATTTATTAAAATAAAAAAAAAGTGCATGTGCTTTGCACAGTCGAGTTAAAGGCTGTTGAGTGAAAGTGTTCAACTGGGCATGGTGGTGTGTGCCTGTAATCCCAGTGACTCAGGAGGCTGAGGCAGGAGGATCACAAATTTGAGGCCAGCCCCAGGAACTTAGTGAGGCCCTAAGCAATTTAGCAGGACCCTCCCCTCACCTCCCCCCCACCGCCAAAAAAACAAAACAAAACAAAAAAAACAACTAAAGAGGGCTGAAGATGTAGCTAAATGGTAAAGTCCCTCTGGATTCAATCCCCAGTACCAAACAACAACAAAACTATATTAATTAAACCTGGTGTGGTGTAATCCCAGGGACTCAGGAGCCTGAGGGAGGAGGATCGCAAGTTCAAGCCTCAGCAATTTAGCAAGGCCCTAAGAAACTTAGCAAGAGCTTATTTCAGAAAAGGCAGATGTAGCTCAATGGTAGAGCTCTTGCCTAGCATGTGCAAGGCCCTGGGTGGGTTTTATCCCCAGTACTGTAAAAAAGAGACATAAATTCTTATTCTCAAGTAGCTTACGTTCAAGTAAGAAAGCATATTATGCTAATAGCAAAAGGTTAGAAATAAGCTCAAAGTTCATCAATATGCAGTTATTAAAAAGAATGAAGTAGTGGTTTATAAGCTGATAAGGAAGAAATGTCAAAATATGTTACCAGTGGGAGCAAAAGCAAGGTGCAAAACAATGCACGAACTAGAAAAAAAATATATGCAGTTTCCATTTATGTAAAAGACATACTTTAAAAAAATAAATACATGTAATTTTCAGCAAAGATACAGGTTGCCTTTGGAGATGAAAATGGTTGAGTGGGATTTAGTGTGGGAAAAAGACTTAATTTTTACCAGATTACAGAAGGGGGGAAAAAAAGGAAGAAACCACACCTGAAAGATAGTGTGTTTATCAGGGATTAGGAGGATTTATTTCAGTATAGTATGATCCATTTTCTCTCATACCGTCACAAATTTTGCTTAACCACCCTTATTTTTTTTTAAAAGAGAGAAAGAGATAACTTTTTAATATTTATTTTTTAGTTTTGGAGGACACAACATCTTTATTTGTATGTGGTGCTGAGGATTGAACCCAGTGCCGCGCGCATGCCAGGCGAGCGCGCTACCGCTTGAGCCACATCCCCAGCCCCACCCTTCTTGTGATATACTTCCACTTAGTAAAATTGACATTCCTAGTGGTTACTTATAGATTTCTGAGTTCTGGGTTGTAGGGAAAAATTTTAAGAACTCTTAAGAGTACCTCAAAAGATTAAATAGAAGTCAGATGTGGTGGTGGTATATGCTTATAATCCCAGTGACTCAGGAGGCTGAGAAGCAGGAAGATTGCAAGGTTAAGGCCAACATGGGCAATTTATAGAGACTTGTCTCAAAAGGAAAAATAAAAAGGGCTGAGGGATATAGCTGGTGTGGGGATGGGCACCCCTTGGGTTCAATCTGCAGTACCAACCAAGAAGAAAAAAAAGGGTTATGTATCGTGAAAAAGCATACTTTTAATAATAGTAATTTTAGGGAAAACAACTGAAAATAATGGTCTATATAAGAAGAAATTCCCTTAGAATAAGTTTTTATTCTTTTTTTTTTTTTTTTGGTCTTTCTTTTTTGCAGCCCTTACCTTTTGTTTTCTGCAGAAAAGTCAACCTAGTTGTTTTGGGGGTGATATGTTTGGTATAGTTCCCATATTAGCATTATACGGTAGGCACAGTATTTCTGTTTCGCTATATATATTTTTGCCATGCATGTGATTTAACTAGTTGGGTGTAATTGGCATAGTTATACATTAACACTGTTTAATTCTGTATAGTACTTTGCTGATAAAACCATTAATTGATAAGTAGTTAAAAAAAATACCGAAACAAACAATATTCTAACTATAGTTTGGCAAGGAATAAAACAGGAAATGTTTAAGCAGCTTTTAATATGTTCTTAGTCATTTGCATTTGCAGGAAACAATTTTGAGATTAGAAATAAATGTTTTTAATGAGCTAATAGAAATATATTACCTATGGAATCATACATAACGTTCATACAATAAATGTTTGTTGACGTCTACTATGTGCCAAATACTATTCTTGAGATTTTTACTACACAGAACAAAAAAGTTCTTGCACCTCTAGAACTTACCATAAATACAATTATAATATTGACAATGGGTTTAAATTAAAATAACTTAAGTCTCTGAAATAGTTCTCCAAGGTTATGAGTTCATAGTGCAGAGATTTTTGGGAGAGATTACCACAATTAAAAATTATTATTTATTAGAGAAAATTTATTTTTTGAGTAGGAAGAGCTTCTTTTTATATTTATATACATATCTTTGTTTTATAAATTTTTTATGTGGTGCTGAGGATCGAACCTGAGCCACAACCCCAGCCCCAGGAAGAGCTTCTTATTTTAGTAAATACTTCAGAGATTATTTTACCTAGAGACCCACCTGTTAATATCTCAGTAAGCCTTTACGTTCACTCCAAACTAAAATGGGACACTATAACTGGAATGTCTAGACATGCCTCCCACACCCATAATGAGTGTTGTTTTAGGAAGGGAGGCAGGCAAATGTAGTCTGGAGAAAATAGGGATAGGTTAGATGCACCACAGGCTAATTAAACTCTTTGCCTGTTTGGGGGAGGGGGGAGACTGACATTTTTATATAGGTACCGATTAGCTCTTAATCTATTTTTAAAAATTTTTTAAATATTTATTTTTTATTTTTAGGTGGATACAATATCTTTATTTCTACACTATTTGGTGCCGAGGATTGAACCCAGTGCCTCGTGCATGCTAGGAGAGCACTCTTCCACTGAGTCACAACCCCAGCCCCTTAATCTATTTTAAGTTATAAGAAAATAATGGCAAAAGCTTGTCTTGGCCATCCACACTAAAAACCTTGTTCTAGCATCATAAAAACCTATCATTCCACTTTGAACACACAAGTGTATATCATCACAATGACATGTAAAGATTTGTCAGTCTTTTTTTTTTTTTTGGTGTTGCTGAGGATCAAACCCAGGGTTTGCACATACTAGGCAAGTGCTTTACTACTGAGCCCTTTCCTTGTTTAAATTTCACTTTAAGACAGGCTGACCTCAAACTTGCAGTGTTCCTCCCTTAGTCTCCCAAGTAGTTAGGATTACAGGTGTAAACCATCTTGGATCCCTAGTTTTATTAGTCATAATGGTATCCTTGATAGTTGGGCTTCCTCTGTTCTTCCACTTGTTATATTTGTGTCAGCTTCCTTCCATCACCTGCAGTTTCATTTCTGACAAGGCACTAAAGACTTTGGTTTATGATTCTTTTTTTTTTTTTTTATATATACTGGGGATTAAAACCAGGAGTGCTTAACCACTAAGCCACATCCCCAGCCTTTTTTATGTTTTGAGTCAGGGTCTAAGTTGCTGAGAATCTTGCTAAATTGTTGAGGCTGGTTTTGAACTAAGATCCTCCTGCCTCAACCTCCTGAGCCACTGAGATTACAGGCGTGTGCTGCCACAGCTGGCTACCTTATGATTTTTGAGCCTCAATAATTTGTGATTGGATGTTCTTCCTATAAAGATTTTCTGAAAAGAAGACCTATTGCTGAATTTTACTCTTTTTTTTTTAAAATATGTTTTAGATGTTGATGAACCTTTATATTTTATTTATTTATTAGTTTTCGGCGGACACAACATCTTTATTTGTATGTGGTGCTGAGGATGGAACTCAGCGCCGCGCATGCCAGGCGAGCGCACTACCGCTTGAGCCACATCCCCAGCCCTGAATTTTACTCTTGAGTTTAATTTGTAAGTCATGATTAGGTTACGGCAAAGGCAGAAATAATTTGGGCAGCCGTGAAATTAGGAGACTGGTTGAAAGAAAGCAGCTTGAGAAATATGTGGTTTAGGGAATCATATCTGTTTCCAATTATTTTTGTATAGCATTTACGTCTAACAAACTTCAACTTTGCTTTATAAGCTTTTGTACTGATTTTCATAAATAACAGAGATATACATTACCAGAGACTGTGGTGGAGTAACAACAGATTTGCTAAGAGCATTCTAAACCTCCTGTTTGCTGAGGAAATTGATTGTAGCATCAAGTTTCATAATGTAAAATCTACTAGGAGGAAATTTTCAAAAAGAAATTTAGAAAATTTTATTACCTTCCTAACACTGAAGAGATCAATATGGCACTGAATTTACTGTTTTTAAACAAAACCTCAAGATATAAAGAGATGAAAATATACTACTAAAAATACTTGGATTTCTGGAATAGCAACAACCAAGTAAAAACACAATTGCCCACCAGCTTTTCCACAGAATTACACTTCAACAAATTTTAGGCCTTCTATTAGGCCTACTAAAGATGAAAAGTTATAAAAAATTTCATCAAAAACTTCATCATTTAAAATGCCTTAGTATATTTATCTAAACTATGAAATTGATCAAATGCAAAAATCTTTCAATGGATGAAGAGCTAAAATCTACCCAGGCACAGTGGTGCATGCCTGTAATTCCAGTGGCTCGGGAGACTAAGAGGAGGATCACAAATTCAAAGCTAGCCTCAACTTAGTGAGGCCCTAAGCAACTTAGCAAGACTGTGTCTCTAAATAAAATATAAAAAGGGCTGGGGATGTGGCACAGTGGTTAAGCACCCTTGGGGGTTCAATGTAGAGTTACCCACCAACCCCCAAAAAGCTAAACCTTACATGGATAAAAATGGGAAATATGGGGGCTGGGGTTGTGGCTCGGTGGTAGAGCACTCACCTTGCACGCATGAGACCCTGGGTTCGATTCTCAGCACCACATAAAAATAAATAAGTGAAATAAAGGTATTGTGTCCAACTAAAAAAAAAAAATGGGAAATATGTAGTATGCATATCACAGAATATAAAAGGAACTAAACATGGAAAAATAAACAGGACTTAGCTCCCAAAACTACGATGTGCCTAAGATTTGTTCTCAGGGATTTTAGGTGGACAGTCTTATGCATGTTCAGATTTCATACCAACACTTTAAATCCAGAAATCATTAAAACAAATGATTCTACCCTATCATCTGGGTAAACATATCAAATAGCAACTGTTCCTAGTTCCTGTTACTTTTCATAATTTCACAACACTTCTAGAAAGAACTTGAATTTCTTTGAGTTGCCAAATAGGGAGCTAAATGGAGAAGCTTGTCTTATCTTTTTTGTATAAAACAACAACAACAACAACAAATCCCAAGGAAGTCTAGTCACAATGTCTGAGGTTCCCTAAGTTCTTTTAAGATAAGGACTGGGACTGTTCTCTGTAATGGTCTTTATATTTCCCCACAGCTTGGTATCTAATAGGTTCAAATGAACTCAACTAGAATATTTAGAAAGCTTTAGTGTCAGTGAATAGACACTTGGAAAAACAAGAATTATAGTTGATTCAAAGATGGATGAGGATATGTTATAAAATTCATTCTGAAAGAGCTGACTCAAGTAACAGACTACAGAAAAAAACCCTCATGGTATTTTCTATTTGAAGTTTACTTGGGTAATTCTATATTCAATGAGTTGAAAATATAGATCTATCTAGGACTACTAACTCATGGACAGTAACACAAAATTATACATTTAAGCAGAGTAAAATAACCTGGCCAAAATTGTAATATACATAATTTGTTAATAAAAAAGTAATGCCAGAAGAGTGCTTAGCAATTAAAAACATTAACAGAATACAAGTTCAGAACGAAGGTCACATAACTATAATTGGTATTAAATCTTTACTTACCTCATGATTTAGGAGTCAGGTAAAAGGCAGCAGACCAGGCACGTAAGTCACATGTAACTAGGACCTAAACACAGAAAGAAAGGTTTCTGGGTTTTGAATAACCCAACTGGAGGTGGTAGGCTCACTGAACTTGGATTCAAGGATTAAGGTAAAATGGCCTAAAGATCTTGCTATTATCATAAGACACATTCCCAGTGAGCTGGGGAATGAACCCAGGGCTTTGGGTATGCTAGGGAAAAATACTCTGCCACTGAGTTACATCCCCACCCCTTTTTATTTTATTTGGAAACAAGGTCTTGCTAAGTGCCCAAACTGGCCTTGAACTTGTGATCCTCCTGACTCAGCCTCCCAAGGTTTCTGGGTTTTGAATAAGATTTCTGGGTTTTGAATAAGGTTTCTGGGTTTGGAAGTGCAGATTAACTCTTTTTGTTTTCTTACATACAATAAAATCAACTAAAGATGTAGAGTAATGATGGGAGGCTGTTTTTTATAACAAACAATATCTGGGTAAACAAAGCAAGATATTTTGACTTCATAAATAGGAATTCTATAAAACAAAAGTTTTCACTCCTAGAAAGCCAATTTGCTTTCAATTATTTTAATTTTTTTTTTTTTTTTTTTTTTTGGTCTTTGTGTTTTTTGTTTGTTGAGCTAGGAATCAAACCCAGGGGTTTGCACATGCAAGGCAAGCGCTATACCATTAATCTACATCCCAGTTCTTGGTCATTTTTTAAGCTCTTGCAATTTAAGCAATGCCAACCGCCCCCCTCTCTCCCCACCCACACACAAAACTTATTTTTTTCCTTTGGCTATTAGTTTTCTTCAGAAGCAAGCTTGATTTATGGTGAGACAAAGTTTCAAACCTTAGAAAGAATTTTCAAGTGTGCTTCTCCATCAAAAATATTTTTTTTTTTTTTGTACTAGTACTGGAGTTAAACCCAGGCAGTGCCTTGTACATGCTAGGTAAGTGCTCTACCACTAAACTACATTCTCAGCTGTTTTATTATGAGAGAGGATCTTGCTAAGTTGCTAAGTTGCTGAGTCTGGCCTAGAACTTATGATCCTCCTGCTTCAGCCTCCCAATTTGCTAGGATTATAAATGTTTACCACCGTACCCAGAGCTCAAACACAAGTATTCAAAGAAGGAATGTCAATTATCTAAACCTTTTTTTGGCCATCTCCTGAAGTTTCTTGTTAAAACTTTTTTTAAATGTCACAGTTGCACTCTTGGAAAACTTGTCTTCCTGGTTTTCAAATTTCTGTTTATTATTACAGCTTCTCAGCTAGATTGCCAGATCTTTGTGCTACACTGTTTCTTGAAACTAGAGACCAACACACTTCCCCAAATTCAATTACTTGCCTTTCCATTTGAGAAATTAAAGCCATGTCAATTTTATAAAGTTTTAACTGACTGAATTATTTGAACCTTACGTTCTCAATTTCTCCTTTAGTTTAATACTTTGAAAGATCTTTGTTTTATTAAAGGAAAAGGTAAAGTTCAAGAGTATTAACACATTTTAGTCATCGACACTGATACAAGTGTAGGAATTTTTGTACAAGCACAAGCTTGAGATATGATACTCTAAGGAAAAAAGAATTTCAATTCAATTTTAGGAATATTTATTTAAGATTACATACCTAATAAAATCGTTTCTTTATACAAATGTATGTGTATATATATGTGTGTGTATGTAGTTTTTCATAAGGATTCATTGTCTTTAATAAAGAGCTTCAGTTAGTCAATAACTTCCAAATTTACTTCTCCTGAATTTTACGTTAGAATTCAGTTCTGTATATCCAGGAACGTTTAATCAAGGCATTTCAAACTTAATGCCTACATACCAGTTTAAATGTAACGCGAAAATTGGATGAAGCTGGCATCTCAACTGTCCTTTTTCTTTTATTGAGACTACAATTTTCTTCCAGTATAGAAAGTATATAATTGTTATATCTTGCTTTTATCCAAACCATTATGATGTTCTACAGTTATTTCTTTTAAAATATGTAATTTATTCTTTTATCTCCATTCATATTGCCACTATTCCAGTCAGGTTTTCTTTACTTCTATGTTACTATAATAGTCACATGCCCAGTTTCTTTGGCCCCAGACTTTATTCTTAGAAGTTTCTACATATAGTTTTGCCACATTTAATTTCCAAAAAGTCAATTTCCATTATTTTGTAGTCAGAGGCTCTGATGGCTCCCTATTTCTTATTATTTCAAGACTAAAGTCCTCTAATTAGTTTTCAAGGCAAAGGCCCAATGACTTAGTTCTAACCTAGTTATCCAAATTCATGTAACCTTTGCCTCATTTCCTATGGCCCAGATCCCAGATTACTTTTTGGGGAATTTTGGCTTGAATACTAACCTTCAAATCAGGAAAATTCACAACTTGACAATTCAATGCAACTTGTTTTGTAAGCATGCAGGCCACAAATAACAAAATGACATTTTTTATCAACAGCAGAAACAACTGTATAAATTCCATGTAAGCCCCCAAAGTTACTTACAGTTTTGTGCTGAGGGGATCATTTCATGTGGCAGTTATTGCCCTCTTCTAAAGTGAGTGTTGTAAGACCCTCTGCTCTACATATACTTCTGTTTTCTGCATCCAATCTCAGTCCCTTTGCCACATGGCCTAAGCAACAGTGGTTTAAGTCAGTTCTCACCTTTTTTTGGGCAGTTGTGGTATCAAAATTCACACCTGGAAAACAGTTCATAAAGCAAATCAAGATAGAAGAGAAACTGCTTTATCATAGAAACTGTTATTTGTTGGTTGAATTCCTGACTTTTGGCTAAATAGCAAATATAACAAACATGTCACCTACCCATAAAGCCAAACCAAAACCAACAATAGGCTTTTCAAAAAATATAATAAAGGATGAGGGTGTAACTCAGTGACAGAACACTTGCCTAGTGTTCCTGAGGTCTTGGGTTTGATTCAGTCAAGGGGATTGAACCTAGCTCCACAAAATATGTGATGTGTATATATATATATATCTTATATAAACATACACACATATAAAACATATGTTAAAAACTCTAAAGGTACATAAAAATAAATCCATATTCCAATACAAATATAACTTAAATGTTCTATCAAATAAATTCTACATATTTGATCCACAATTTTCATATATATATATGTGTGTGTGTGTGTGTGGGGGGGGGGTGAACTTGAACTCCTGCCTCAGCTGAGACTTCAGATATGCATTAAAGTTTTTGGGGGGAGTGGGTGGGTGGGGATTAAAACTTTTTAGCTACATCTCCAATCCCCTCCCCCTTTTTAAAAATTTGAGACAGTCTTCACTGATTTGTCTAGGTATTTGCCTAGGTTGACCTCAAACTTGCAATCTTTCTGCTCCAGCCTTAAAATGTATCTTTTTTAACTTAAAGACTTCATCTACTAACACTTCCTATCTTCTCAAGGACATACAAATAAAGGCCAATAGGTAACAGTTCACAGTATTTCATATTTTATGGAAAGCTTAGAAATGATCAATTAGATTATTCATGGCCCTCAAGTGGGATATCAAAATACCATACTCCTGATTATTCATTCCCTTGCCCATAGGTTTCAGGCTTTGGTTATTGTTTTGAGGTGCTGAGGCTTAAAATCAGAGCCTAGGATGTGCTGGGCAAGCACTCTATCACTGAGCAATACTCCCAGTCTAGTTTCTGGCTTTGGTTCAAAAACAAAAACAAAAGGAAAAAGACACTTTAAGGTATTTATGACTTGAAGCATGAATATTAGTAGACAGGACAGAACATGAGTAACCCTGGTTAAGTGATGTAGTAAAAGTTGGAGAACTCCTACAGTACCAAAAAAGAATCTAGGTATTTTTGTATCTAGCTAGCTGGTATTCAGCCTTTCTAGAATATACTATTTTACTATAAATGGCATTACTGTTGATTTTTAGCAATCAATGTTTATTTATCAAGCACCCACTATGTTCAAGACACTATGCAAAGTTTCTAGAGTATTATAGTAAGAATACGACAGTCATTTTCATAAGGCACAAAAGGGAGAAATAGCATTTTGGCTAAAGAAGAAAAGAGAATTGGGAAAATTTAATGTAGGAGGTAGATGGCATAAGAAGATTTAGCCAACTGAAGATGAAGGAAAGGACCTTTTAGGAGAAAATAACTTGAGCTAAGGCTTGGATGAAAATCAGAGAGAGGTTTGGAAAAGGCTCATTTCTCTTTGGCTTAACAACTATTGTAATTAGATCACAGACATTCCTATAGTGGTAATTTATCAAAAAAGATCCTGGATAGAATTTTGGCTATGCAACCCTTTCCCCTCAATATTTCTTACCTGATTTGGTAAGAGCCACAGACTTCCTAAATCGTTTGGGGTAAACTTGTATTTTTTAAGCCTGTTTCCTTTCAATTATTTCTTACAGGCTTTTTTTTTTCTTCTTCTTCTTCAAAGCATCATATCTTGGCTCTTGAGGGGCTGCAGGCAATCTGAATACTTGTTTTCTTTGATTAGAAATGAGAGCACCTTATGAAAAGGAAGGAAAATAATCTCAAACATGGTTATATTAATTTCCCTACCTGTCCCTGAATGCCTACTCTATTCCTTCAGTCTATTGTATGTACTTTACTTTTTCCTACCTGATCACTCCTTGGCTCATGTTATTTTATGTACTTGAAAGTCTATCATTCCTTCAATTCACCTAATCAATCCCATCCACTTTTTAAGCCCAACTCATCCTTTACCTTCTCTAAGAAGTCTTCTCTCAGTCTAAGTCCACATTTCTTTTGAGTTTCTACTATACTTCTAAATTGCAAGATAGTTTACATTTTATTGTTCTCTAGTTGTTGCTTATATGTTAATACAACATTCTCACCTAGGCGAAAAGTTATTTACCAGTAGGCACCATCTTTATGTTCTATAGTGAAGTACTGGGCATAGAATATGTCCTTAATAATGAAGATTATCTCACTTGAAAAATGCAAACAGAAAACAAGACATTAAAAAAAATAGTTTCTTAATTGTAGATAGACACAATACCTTTATATTTATTTATTTATTTTTATGTGGTGCTGAGGATTGAACCCAGTGTCTCACACATGCTAGGCCTGTGCTCTACCACTAGCGAAAACCCCAGCCCCCAAATAAGATATTTTAAAGTAGTATTTTAATAATTATTTTGATGAAACTATATTCTCAGAATTTTAAACCTCAAATTATCACATTAAATAAATTTATATATGAATAACTGACCTACTCTATCACTTATAATAACAGCCATGACCTAACCAGTTTTTTTTTTTTATGGTACCAAGATTGAACCCAGGGGTGCTTTATCATTGAGCCCTATCCCCAGTCCTTTAAAAAAAAAAATATATATATATATATATATACACACACACACACACACACAATGTATATAGTTGTAGATGGACAAAATATCTTTATTTTATTTATTTATCTTTTTGTGGTACTGAGGATGAAGCTCAGTGCCTCACACATGCAAGGCAAGCACTCTATCTCTGAGCTACAACCCCAGCACCCCCAGCCCTTTTTGAGACAGGGTCTTGGGTCTTGCCAAGTCACCCTTGCTGGCTTAAATTTGTGATCTTCCTTACTTAGCTTCCAGAGTTCCTGGGATTAGAGGCATTGGCATTGTACACTGCTCAGTAGTTTTTCTTGATAACCCAATCCTCCCTGACTCAAACCATTTCTGATAGAAGAAATTTATTGCTTACAACCAATAAGTTATAATTGAAAAGGGTTATAATTTGAATCCTTTAAAGTATATATCTTCCAAATAAGCAGTGAAATTGTGAATACAATATAATTTCACTCACTTTGGAGTAAAGTGAAATTTGGCTTGATAAAGGCTGGAATTCTTCAAATTGAATCAATAGTTAACCTGAATTAGTCACTTGCATTTTTTCCCCCAGTATTTGATACTGAACCCAGCAGCACTCTACCACTGAGCCACACCCCAAGCCCCATTTCTTTTTTTGAGACAGGGTCTTACCAAGTTGCCCAGCCTGGCCTAGTAACTTGCATTCTACATTTTTTTAAAAGTATATTTTAACAAAAAAATGCGGGATGGGATTTAGCTCAATGGTACAGTGCTTGTGTAGGATACATGAAGCAATGGTTCAATCTCTAGCATCACGGAAGAAAGAAAAACATGTTAAACACCCTTGGCACTACCGAGCTTAAAACACATTTAGCACAATTCTTAAACTCCTATGTCTATAGCATATTACATAATACTTCACAAGACTTGATAAGATCTTTATAAGGTTTATTGATATTTAGCATACTGCTTAAGAAAATATACTAAAATATTGCAATTTTTATTGTTTTAGAAAATTGAATATTGATTTTAAACTTAACTAAATTATTCAGTACTCCACATTTCTTCATTACTTCAATTATATGATTTGTTTGACAAAATTTTCAAATGTTTATTTCTTACTATTTTTTCATATTATGCTGCCTCTCCAAATTCTTGTGGGGGAAGTTTTCCTTTTTGTTAAGGAAACCTGGTCATGAAGTCAAGGTGTCAACATGACAAAGGGTAAGAAAAACAAATGTAGATTTTTCTTCTTTAATGGACAACTTAAATATAATTTCCATAATTTTATTGTAATACTGAATTTTCCAAATATAAGATTTCACTTTCCCCTTTTTTAGTGCCAGGGATTGAACCTAGGGGTACTTAATCACTGAGCCCCATACCCATCCCTTTTTACATTTTATTTTAAGACAGGGTGTTGCTAAGTTGCTTAGGCCTCACTAAACTGAACTGGCAATCCTCCTACCTCAACCTCCCTAGCCACTGGGATTGTAGGTGTGCGCCACAGCACCCGGCTCTCCTTTGCTTTTGTAAATCATGTCAGTGTACTATTTGCAAAACTGATATACTAGAGGAGGTTGATTCTCTTCTAGGATTATAAAAACTTGGGACATGACAGTCAAGTTCAGTCTCTCACTGGAAAATACAGGATTAGAGAAAGAAATTTTCTTGCAAAGGGCCTCACAACTAACCAACAGCAGAAATAATTTTCAAGTATTTGAACATGGTCATACTTAACTTCTTTGGGATAGGAACAGTGTTACCTTCTATTTACATTCTCATTCCCTTGGAAGAGTTATCAAGCTATCTAAATATTTCTTTAGCATAATACTCATAAATGACTTTTATTATACTGCATTAGAACTGTTTATACTCTTTATTTTCATAGCTTCTAAGCCACTGACTTTTCATACATGCTATCTTAATAAAATGACATTGAAGAGACAAGAAAATTGCCTCTAAACGAAGTGACTTGTTAGATGAGTTGAACAGCTGTACACACATTACTGAATGAGAAGCAATGAAAGTAACTAAGACTTTAAAAGAGGACAACTAACAGAAAATAACTTATGTCTAGAATCAATCTAATGGAACTTTTTTCACTTATTTTGCATATTATTCTCAATTCTTTAATGAATCCTAATTCCAAGTTATTTCTTTAAAACTTTTCTATATTAAAGCATTTCCCCCCTAATAGAAATAAGTAACAGAATCAGATTATTGCTGGTACTGGCACATTCCTGTAATCCCAGTCACTCAGGAAGGTGAGGCAGGAGGATTCCAAGTTTGAGGTCAGCCTCGGCAATTTAGTGAGATTGTATCAAATTTAAAAATAAAAAGGGCTGTGGGGATATGGCTCAGTAGTAACATGCCCCTGGATTCAATCCCAGTACGGCAAAAAACAAAACAGTGAACTTTTTTTTTTTTTTTGGTACCAGAAATTGAACCCAGGCACTTAACTACATTCCCAACCCTATTTTATATTTTATTTAGAGACAGGGTCTTGCTAAGTTGCTGAGACTGGCTTTGAACTCATGATCCTCCTGCCTCAGTCTCCCTAGCTGCTGGGATTAACAGGTATGTGCCAGCATTCCCATCTTGAATTTTCAAAATTATTCTTATCATCTTCTTGTGTGTGTGTGTGTGTGTGTGTGTTGGGAGGGTTACAGGGATTGAATCCAGGGGCACTTTACCACTGGGTTACAGCCTTTTTTGAAACAGGGTTTTGCTAAAATGCCCAGGCTGGCCTCCAACTTGTGTTCCTCCTGCCTCAGCCTCTCTAGCTGCTGGGATTACAGATGTGTGCCACCTTGCCCAGCTTGAATTTTCAAAATTCTTCTTCTTCTTCTTCTTTGTTTTTTAGAGAGAGAGAATTTTAATATTTATTTTTTAGTTTTCGGCGGACACAACATCTTTGTTTGTATGTGGTGCTGAGGATCGAACCCGGGCTGCACGCATGCCAGGCAAGCGCGCTACTGCTTGAGCTACATCCCCAGCCCGATTCTTCTTCTTCTTCTTTTTTTTGTACTGGGGATTGAACTCAGGAGCATTAGACCAGTGAGCTGCACCCGCAGCCCTATTTTTTATGTTATTTAGAGACAGGGTCTCTAAATAGGACTGGGTCTCAGTTTGTTTCTTAGCACCTCGCTATTGCTGAGGTGATCCTCCTGTCTCAGCCTCCCGAGTTGCTGGAAAAAATAATTATTCTTATAATCATCTTCGTGTGTATGTGTATGTGTGGGGAAGGGTTTAAAGGGATTGAATCCAGGGCACTTAACCACTTTACATCCTTTTTTGAAATATGGTTTTACTGAATTGCCTAGGATGTCCTCAAATTTGTGGTCCTCCTGCCTCAGCCTCCCAGGAAGCTTAGATTACAGGTGTACACAACATCACCTGGCTTCATTTCACTATTTCTATGAGAAATCTCTTCAACTATGAGAAGTTGAATAAAAAAATACTGTATATTTAAACACCTTTAAAACAGAGGCTGTAAGACTATGATAGTTGGTAAAAATTTAAAAAATTCTTACTTACCTTTAGAAGTTGCTATGTTAAATTAGATTAAATCACTCAATATGAATTAGATAATAATAGCTATCAGATATATTTTCAGTTTAACATTTTCCTTATATATGGAAGGATATGTTAATTTAAAATCAGTAGATACCAATTACATTTTATACACAAATGGAAAATTATGAAAATTTAAGGAGCATAATTTCATTTAAAAATTATAAGATAGGACATGAAATAAGATAAAAAGCAATCTTAGCTAAATAAAGGAGTTCTCAACTACTTTAGGCCTCTCTATGGCTAATATTTATGCAGGTTTAGATTGAGGACAAAATTATGAGATGATCTCATCAGCCATTCTTCTACCTCCTTTGACAAGTCTTGGGATAAATTCTATTATGCAATTATCTATCTAAAGCAAATTAAGTGTAGACACAGTGCCATGAATTGTCTTGATGTCAAAATCTTTTTCTATTTTAACAAAACCTTAGGCTTCTAATTTTCTAAAAATTAGGTTATCGAGTGCTATCCAACAGTGAGCACTTAGTTTTAGAAAACTATAGAACTTAGTTTTAAAAAAAGATAAAAAATTACCATCCAAATATTTTACTAATAGCTAGCTAGATCATGCCTGATTTCACAAGAATTAAGTATGAAGAGCGACAGAGGCCACGATGTGAAATCAACTCAAGGGTTTACATACAAACAGGGTTAAAGTTGGAGCTTCAGTTAATACATTTGTGTCTTTAAACCAAAGCAGAGTCAAGAAACCAAATGGTTTCAAAATGCAAGTCAAAGCGTCTGAATTCTATGGATGTATGTAGGCAGGCAGAGTTAAGTCTAGAAAATCAGCAAGAACACAAATACAGTGCTAGGAAAAGGGGTCATACTCATACTCTATAATCCTGTTGGGAGAAAGTGAAAATTGTTTATTGATCAGGCAGAAACACACAGGAAGCTATAATCTACTGTTCTGATTAGATTCTTACCCAAAAGTCAATGTGAATTCATCAGTCTAAGCAAGCTTGATTTGGATTCTGAAGCACTCTTAAACAAGGGTAAAGAAGCCATAGGGTCACCTGGGTGCAGTGGTGCATGCTTGTAATCCCAGCAGTTTGGGAGGCTGAGGCAGGAGGACCACAAGTTCCAGGTCAGCCTAAGTAATTTAGCAAAACACTGTATCAAAATTACAAAAAAAAAAAAAAAAAGGGCTGGGAATGTAGCTCAGTGGTAAAATACCACCGGGTTCAATCCCCAGTACAAAAATAAATAAGTAAATAAATATAAAATTACAACAGATATAATTTGTTATCTAGGAAGTAAATAAGCTTCATGAAATTTATTCGTTATCTCAATGAAAAATGACCCTTACAAAGACTTGCTTCACACACATAAAACAATATTGCTTGACATGCACCATTTCATATTTCTCATTTTTTCTGATCTTTCAATAAAACTGTTGGTGACCTATAAACTTGACTTACATGAGCACTGTGGAATTCCACCAAAACAACATAAGTTTCTGGCTACCTGACCAATGAGTTGCTTTTGAGTATCCATACTAATAGTGACATCTAAGTATTCTATTAAATAAGGGAACTAAGATACTGCTGAGTGTTATGTGAGGTTAACAGCTCTATTTACTACACTAGTCATTAAATAAACTAAGGTAAGATAGTTTGCACCCAGGTGACCCTATGGTTTCTTTACCCTTGTTTAAGAGTGCTTCAGAATCAAAAAATAAAATAAAATAAAAAAATAAAAATTACAGGCTAGGAGAGAAATATGGTAGAACATAATCACAACATGTAACAAGCAGTAAGTAGACCTTCTAAGTGTGATAATGCAGAAAAGGGAGCTATTTTGTTTGTTTGTACAGGGGAACACATTGCTCTTCTGAAATAATACCTAAGAAAAATTCTACAGAGTGCAATAGGAATTTGCTATATTCCTTGGAATTACTGAGACAGAATGAGATTAGTAATGATTAATCCTTTCTGATCCTTTAAATTGACATAAAACAATATGGTATATCTAAGAAATAAGGTATATCTAAGGTAAGTTTACAATTTAAATGGATTGTCTGTACCCTTTTAGTTTCAAAGGTCTATTTTCTCTACTAGATTTTGGTGAATTTCCAAAAAGGGACAGTATGTTCAAGTGAGATGATATTGGTTTGGTGTATTAATTAAAAACAACAAACTATGACCTATAGATTGTATACACTTATTCTTGACAGTTGAACAAAGGTAGTTTCTTACAGGTGGACTATGCGATTACATGGCAAGATCTAACTGAATTCATTTATCTGAATGTATAGCCATGAACCACAAATACATATGAAGGACATGGACCTATATATATAGACCATCCCTAATGCTACTGAAATATTCTTCTAAATGTACTTCCTTGGCAATGGGTCATACAATATTTAAAACTCGTGCTTGGTTTAATATTTCCACAACCTATTTTTAAAAGTTGTATGCTGGGCACGGTAGCATACGCTCATAATCCCAGTGATTTGGCTAGGCTAAGGCAGGAGGGTCACAAGTTCTAGGCCAGACTCAGCAACTTAGTGAGACATAAATAAAAAATAAAATAAAAATAAAAAGAGCTGGAGATGTAGCTCAGTGGTAGAACACCTGGGGTTCAATTCCCAGGAATAAAAATTTCAGTGTTACTAGTCTCTAATACTTTTGTTCTTTTTTATAAAAAGTTCTGGAAAGTCAATCTCACTACCTCCATTGATTTCTCTTGCAATCAAATCAGTCAGTAAAGTATGCAAACATGTGGGCTATTATGATTGGGATAAAGTAAGACGACTTAAAGCACTTTGGAAACTAAAAGTGCTACCTAAAGAAAGGCATCAATATCATTTTGTGCAGTTTACAGCTTTTTATGCAGTTGCGTCCCTTTCCTCTTGTTGGCTGTGAGACAGAAGCTGCAATGTAAATCAGGAGACCTCAAACTCTACAAACCCCTTGAGCCTGAATCCCAGCTCCCCCACTTACTAGTTATGTGATGCTGGCCTGCATTTCCCCGTGACCAAACTTCTTACCTATGACAGATAATAATACAGCTCTCTCATTGGGTAGTTGTGAGAAATAAGTTAACAAATGTAGTGTTTCTGATAAAGGAACATATTAGCAGTTATTTCTATTACTAGTAGTTGTACCTAAGGCTTGAGTAGTTTTCAACACATTTTTGAAAAAACAACCTTATCAGGTAGGTATTGAAAAGTTTTGAGTCATTTTCACTAGAGCAACACTCAAACAGTAAAAATTTACTGGCCTGTTTCCCAGAGGAGCAAATAATATTAACATGTGTCAGGGCTGATGTTCATTAAATGTGTTTACAATTCTATCAAGAATCTCATAATTTTGAAGAGTAGCAAGGTAAGTTCTTGAACTATAAAACTATGGAGCCTGCACTTAAAAATGTCATAAAAATTATGCTCAACTGAGATATAACATTAATTAAGTCTCAACAATGTGTTAGTCTGAAGACTGGCAAAGACAGAATGACTATTTCCTGCTGGCCAATTTCAGATTTGAGACTGATCTTCCCAGGAACACTCCATTTTAACGACTGAGCACCTATTATGTGCCTACTAGGTTGAGAAAAGTTCCAACTGAATTTAACCTCTGGAATATTTTACGGGGGGAAAAAATCCAAGAGGGGCAATCCTAAACAGAGGCTATGGCTTCTTCTTCTTTTTTTGGGTACCTGGGATTGAACTTAGGATTCAGGGGCACTGGACCACTGAGCCACATCCCAGCCCTATTTTGTATTTTATTTAGAGACAGGGTCTCAATTGAGTTCCTAAGCACCTCAATGTTTTTGAGGCTGGTTTTGAACTCACAATCCTCCTGTCTCAGCCTCCTGAGCCATTGGGATTATAGGTGTTCGCACCTGGTGGCTTCACAGTCTTATTAATGTCTAAACATCTTAAAATAAAGTGTGCCCCACTGACAAAACTATGATTCAACAATTTTGGTGGAACTGATTCCTTCCCTCTAAGCTAACTCAAATTCTTTACCTTTATTTTCCTTGGAAGTCTGAAGAGGAAAATTACTGTTTAATGATCCAGTTCTACAATGGGATTCCCAACCACCCCCAAGGAAACCTTTTTGAAGACAAATACTAAATTTTAAAAGCTTTTGGAAATATTTAAAAATTATGTTCTTAGCACAATATTTTCATTATTTCATATATCTCAAATAAATGTTGTTTCCAGAAACCCTGAACTTGTGACTACCTTCCTAAGTGTCAGTTATGCACATCTCCAGTAAAAATTGTTTGAAAAAATCCACAATTTTTCTTATCATATTTTTTAGTTAAAAAAATTGTGCTTTAGGTATTTGGGGGTGTAGCTCACTGGCAGAGTGATTGTTTAGCATGTTTGAAGTCTTGGGTTGAATCCCCAGCATTCCAACCAAACCAAACCACCTATAAAAATAAGTAAAATCCTTTAGGACAAATGTTCTACATTTTTCAAGAAAAGTATTTCTCCCAGTCAATGTGCTTTTGCATTTCAAAAGATGTCCTTTCAATCTTACTGTTTTTCCTATTTCATTAATATTAAGGTTAAGCACACTTCCATAATGTCTACTCCATAACTGGCAGAAAACTTAGAGTTTATATTTGCCTCCGTCAAAATTAAAACCCCTTTGCCCTCTAGTGCAATAAATAACCAAATTTCAAGATTTTCTTTTTTGAAAAAAGCTTTTTAGTACTTTCAGTCACTACTTATATTTGAATAACTCCTATGTTTATTAGCAAATAGTAAGTTTAACCTGAATAAATGAAACTTTCATGATAATTTTGAAAAATTTGAAATCTACTTATAGACTCCAAATTAAATACTCCAACTTGATTACACAGAAACTAAGTATCCTTGAAAATAAGAGTACACTGTAGGAATTTTACTTAATAAATTCCTCCTAAGAGAACTATGTAGAACTTTCTAGAAAGAACAAGTCATTCATTTTAAAGCTCAAATTTCTTGAATTTTGGAGGCATCTAAACACATTAGAACCACCAATTCAAAAATGATATCTAGGGACTGCAGTTGTAGCTCAGTGATAGAGGAATCACCTAGCATGTGTGAGGCACTGGGTTTGATCCTCAGCACCACATAAAAATAAAATAAAGATGTTGTGTCCACTGAGAACTAAGAAATAAATATTAAAAAAAATTCTCTTAAAAAATAGAGGTATTGTGTCCATTTACAACTAAAAATATAAATAAAAATATTTTTTAAAATGATATTGATGACAGTGTTGTAACTATTATGGACCACTAAACTTTATTTTTCTTTTAAATTAAAGGATGCAATGCCCACTAAAATGCATACAGAAGTAGAATAACAGAGGATCTGATTGAAATCTGCATTACAGGTTTGTTTTTTGATAAACACCCCTCTTTCCATAGTCAGACTTTTAGACTTCTGAATAAGTTTATTAACTCAGTTGTTTTTCAAGTTAACAGTTTTTAAATTACAAAATATTAAGTGAGAAAAATGGGTTGACACAATTTTTACTTACATTCTAAATGGGTCATATTGTGAGAAAAACATGTTCACTATTAATAAGTCAAACATTCACTACACCATTTATTAATTTACAGTTTATAACCTTCCCTCCCCTGCTCCCAAAGTACTGGGGATGGATCCAGGGGAGCTTTACCCGTGAGGTACATCCTCAGCCTTCAAATGTTTAGACAGGGTATAAGTTGTTGATCCTTCTGTTTTGGCCTTCAGTAGCTGGGATTACAGGTGTGTGACACCATGCCTGACTCAACCATTTTTAAGTTGAAATATACATAATTGATTGTCATTACCACTGAGAAATGTTTTTTGAAAAACCAAATGAGAATCCCACAATTCTAGAACATTTTGATGAAAACTGATGATTATGGAGGTACAAAAGAAACTCAAAATATACAGGCGTTAGATTTCTTGCAACAAATTCTGAGTAGTACATTTCATTAACTTCTCCCACTCTTCCTATTTAAAACCTTTCAGTGAGTGACCTTCCTTGTCTCAAAACGGTTTTCAAACCATGGGAAGGTACTCTTGGGATTGATATGCGCGTTCTTATAAAATGTACTTTTCATATCCTCACATTTATTAAAATAGTAAGAAAAAAATAATTTTAGTTGCACACAGTGGTACACATCTGTAATCCCAGTGGCTCAGGAGGCCAAGGAAGGAGAATCGTAAGTTCAAGGCCAGTCTCAGCAACATGGCAAGATCTTGTCTCAAAATATAAAAAAAATATAAAATAACAAGTGCTTATAACAAGTAGTAAAGCACCCTTGGGGTTCAATTCCCAGTACTGTTACAAAACAAAAACAAGATATTACTTCTAATTTGAAACACTTTTATATTATAATATGATGGAACAGTTAGTGGTATTTTATTCAAATTTGCAGAAAAATTTGAACCAGAAGCATATTTCCAAATTTTTTTGTACACGCTTTTTCTTATCCCTGGCACAGGAATAGATTTATATTCTCTATAGTTTATTAACACGGTTTCAGAATTAAAATGTGTTTACCTACACATTTTTTAAATACTTACCTTAGAAGTTTTAGGGGCTGGAGGAGAAGGGGATATTTTTGATATTTCTTTGAGGACTTAGAACACAGGGGTGGTTAACCACTGTGCCACATCCTCAGCCTTTTTTGTATTTATTTTGATACAGGGTCTAAGTTGTTGAAGCTGGCATCAAACTTGCAATCCTCCTACCTTAGCCTCCCCCAAGTCACTGGGATTACTGGTGTATGCCACCATGCCTCCTAGATGAAGTTGATTTCAAGTTATCTGATTTTAACATTATCTGTTCAGTTCCTCTATTTTAAGTTCTAAAGTTCCTGAGCATAGTATTATTCCCTTTTATAGATATCCAAAGGAAGTAATTGTGTGGTGGTAAGGCCCTTTAAATAACTTTTTATTTTTAAGGAATTCTCTCTCCCTCTGGGAAAAACAAAAAGCAAAAACAAAAAAACTTTCTACATCACAAAAACCATATGTGCTTATTTATAATCAAACATTAATATCCTTCCACCCCAATAAGTTTATCTCTTACCTGAGGAACCAGTGATAAGTGTAGCATATATTTTATTTTAGTGAGTCTGTTCACATTATATGATAACCTTTATCCTCTGTGAACAACTTTTTAGCTCATTAAATATTCACCTACATTATTTTAAACAGATATACAGTATTCTATTCAGCATGTTATTTTAGCAGCCTTTTATTACTGGGCGCTTAAATACATTTTTCCAATCTTTTAAGAACACTATAAAAATACATGGAATACTTTTTACAAGAACATATTTATTAAGCTAAGATCATAAACATATTATAGCCGGCTCACACATAACTAACACACAAAGAGAAAAAACTATATCAACTTTATCACTTGTCAAAATAAATCAGTATATTAACTTTGTGACCTAATATTTAGGCAGGTGTTTTGAAGTTGTCTTAGTCCATCTGCTTGTCTTCATTTTGTTTCTTAAATTTTTATTCATATTGTTAGTACATTTAAAAGGTTAACATGTACAAATAAACGAGGCACAATTAATGACAGAAGTGTTATAGTCCTTAGGTACAATAAGGAACAGAAAAAGGTTAAGTTACAAATATAAAGCTGGATGCAATGGTATATGCTGGTAATCCCAGCTACTTGGAGGCTGAGGCAGGAGGATCTCAATTTCAAGGACTACCTGGGCAACAGTGCTATAATGTCTCAAAAAACACAAAACTAAAACTATAGACATAAATTGTGCATACTATGAGAAGAATGGCTAATGCCAGATTGTGAAAAGTCAAGAAATACTTGGCATACATGAGAGATTTAACATTTAAAAAAGGTACCAGAATAAGCTGGGGAAAAACTAACGTAGTATAATGGCATTAAAAAAAAGGCACAGAAGAAAAATGAATGGATTAGAATTAGTTCATTTGAAGAAAAAGTTAATTTAGAAAACACTGAGGTAAGATCATGAGATACCAAGCTAAGAAGTTTGAATTTTATAATATAGGAAGAGGTGTTTTAGCAGGTTAAACTAGTGGTATATACTAACGATGATGAAATTGTTAGACTGAAATAATTAGAGGCAAAGAATTTCTCAGCTGAAAAGGTGTTGAAGAAAATAAGTGAGAAATAATAAAGTACTTAATGGCAGTAGCAATTCTAAGGCTGGATGAATCAAAGATGACTGTGATTTGTTTGGGTAGATGACAAATATGGACAAATTTAATGTCCCTTGGATCCATTAGCTTTGACTCCAGATAAACTGATGAAATGGAAAATAATTTCAGTGTCATCAAAGCACAATTCATTAAATCCTGATAACCATACACATACCTATTAACCATGCACTTAAACATTTTGTTTGTACTCTAAATGGTCTCAGATGTAGGTTACAATCTTGAATCATATTCATAAGAATGTTCTGTCCAATCTGCAAAAATTCAATAGGGAGAGGCACATACAACTATCAAAGTTGTCTCGAAAGAATTATGAAAAACTGAATTTTAAGATTAAGTGGTACTAGGGATTGAACCCAGGAGTGCTCAACTGAGCCACATCCCCAACCTTTTTTTTTTTTTTTGTATTTTATTTAGAGACAGGGTCTTGCTGTGTTGCTTTGGGCCTTGCTGAGTTTCTGAGGCTGGCTTTTGTACTCACAATCCTCCTGCCTTAGCACCTGAGCTGCTGGGATTACAGGCATTGTCCACCACACCTGGCTTTTAAGTTAGAATCTTGAACAGATGTAAGATCTGACTTTTATAAACTTTTTGATGCTATTAGCTACTATTCCCTTCCTTGGCTCATAATCACATAATACTTTCTTGCTGTTTCTTTACCCACAAAAAATTCATCAGCCAAGATCTTTGTTGCTTGTTATTTCATCAGCTTGAATGGTCTTTCCTGGAGATCATTTTATATTGTTTAAATGTTATCTCTGGGAGATATCTTCTTACATATTATTTAAAACAGACTTCTCCTGATTTCCAAACACCTTTATTGCATCATAACCATCTTCCCTGCTTTATTTTCTTCATAGAACTTATAACTGTCTGACAAATCACGTAAAGTGCTACAAATTTTCTATTCCATTAACTATCAGCTATCCTCAAGATTTTAAGTTTTCTAAGGGCTGAAATTTGTTTTGTTTTGTGATCATCTTTAGCACCCAAATAGTAGAATAAATTTGTACAGCTATATCAGTATTCCAAACCTACTTAACTATTTTTACTGTTGTTTTCTAATATTAGCATTCTGACACTTCCAGAAAATACATGGAAACATAAAACTGACATAAACCTCTTAAGTCTAAGTTAAAAATTACAATTTCTCTTTAAGAAATGATGTACTTGATATTGTGTGCATGTACAAATATGTAACAACAAATTCCATCAGTATGTACAACTATAAACTTTTTTTTTTTTTAATAAATAAAAAAATGTGGGGAAATGAAAAAAGAAATGATGCACTTAAACTTTCTCTATTTACACTATGGAACAGCAAAATCTAGACAAACTTCATTGTTTCATACTAATGTGGAATTTTATTTTATTTTATTTTTGGTACCAGAGATTGGAGTCACATCCCCAGCCCCCTTTTAAAAATCTCTTTATTTTGAGGCAGGGTACTGCTAAATTGCTTAGGGCCTTACTAAGTTACTGAAGCTGGCTTTGAACTGAAGATCTTCCTGCCACTGGGATTATAGGCATGTGCTACCATGCTCAGTTCTAATGTTGTATTTTTTTAAACTTTATTTATTTATATGTGGTGCTGAGGATCGAACCCAGGCCTTGCATGTGCGAGGCGAACGCTCTACGGCTGAGCCCCAGCCCTATAATGTTGTATTTTAAACTGATCAAGTATAAGCATTCTCAAAAATCATTTGGAAATAAACTATGGGATGAGATACAGTTTCCATCTCTTTCTAAAGAGATTTTTTTTTTTTTTTTAATAAAAAAAGTTTTTAGTTGTAGATGGACACAATACCTTTATTTATTTCTATATGGTGCTGAGGATTGAACCCAGTGCCTCACATGTGCCAGGCAAGCACTTGACCACTGAGCCACATCCCCAGCCCTATTTTGTATTTTATTTTGAGACAGGTCTCACTGAGTTGCCTCCCAAATTGCTAAGAACATCCATGCTAAGTATATAAAAGAAACTTGTAAGTTACAAAAGATACATAGTATACATTTAGTAGTAAGCTAATCAGGTCAAGGAACATTTAGTATAAAAATAACTTAAAATTTTTTCTTGTTTTGGTCTGGAGGTGTAGTTTAGTGATTCAATACTTGTTTAGCATGCCAAAGGTTCTGGGTTGATCCCCATAAAATACATGCATACAGAAAGAAAAAGAAATCAAATTTTCAGCAGAATATCTCAAAATCTGATGCTATGTATAAGATTGCTATAAATAATAAGATTCTTTGGGAAGTTTATATCTTTTCAAAATATAAAAGTCCTATCATATGAACACAATATTCAAAGTCCTACAGAATTAGGGAGGATCTGAAGTTATCAATGTGCTAACCTAAGTGCAATATTCATGAAGTTTCTGCATGATTTCCATGTATTAATAATAAATAAATAAACCCAAGTAAAAATTATAAATGTTGCATTTAATTTCAGCACAATAAAAATAAAAACCAGCAACTAACTAGTCATCTTACACAGTAATCATAACTTAAAAGATTTAAACATTCATTTTATCAAAATATTTTTCATTGCATACAGCCTCAAAAAATATTAGAGGGCTGGATTGTAGCTGAGTGGTAGTGTGTTTGCCTAGTATGAGGCACTGGGCTTGATTATGAACAATGTAAAAAAGTAAAAAGAGGAAAAGGAAAAAAAAAGAGAAAGAATAGAAATATCTGGATTATATTTTATAAAATAAACAAGGTGAGAACCTTAGTGCTGGTGAGGGAGTTAGTTCTGCATTAAAAGGGCTCAAGCTATTAGTAACAAGTTATAAAAAAAAAATCCTTTGATAAAAGTAAGAAAATAAAACTTTTTAGTAGATAGGAATATACTGATGATCTCTTACTTCTTCTCTCAGATATGTGATATATCTAAATACTTACTATTGCCAAATCTATCTCAAAAATTTAGGACAATAATTTTTCTCCTTTTTGATAATACTCAATGAGAAACAACACTTAGAATAAAACATTTTCCATGAGGAAGGGATAGTAATATCCACCTGCAAAAGGAAAAGAAATTTTTGATTTAAAATGTCAACTTCTAAACAAATATATACATGAACTTACAGATAAAGTATAATCTTGCAAATCCAAGTATGGCTAACATGTGCATATTATTAGTAATGCTACTCAGTGGCTTAAAAACACTTATAACTATAATAACAGAAGGAAAAAAAGGCAAAATTTGTCTTAAAGATGAGAGTTTTGTCTTACATTAAAGACTTTGCCTTCAAATTAGAACGAAAACAGAAGGATTTTACTCATTGACTACAATTCCTCAAAACCTGAAATATTTTTAGGATTTTAAAAATAGATAATTATTATTGGAAGTAATTCACTAAGAACTGCTTTTATTGTATATTTATTGTCTGGTTAAAATGGAAAGGGTAAAATGTTCCTTGAAGAAAAAACACAGAATTATGATACATTGCATAGTTACTTGAATTATACTAAACATCATTTTTAAATGACTTCAAATATAACAAACAGAAATATAAGGTAAAGAGTATTTTCCTTTAAATCTTAATTATAGTATTTTGACTTATTTACACAGTTATAAATTAATAACTAAATTACAATTTGGTCTTACTCTGAAGTTAAATATTGGATATAAAAATGTACAGAAGATCTTCACATTTTCAACTCGTCAAAAATCTTCAGCTAAGGATTTAAGAAAACATTTTAGTAAAAACAAGAAAAAACAGTCTTCTATTATAAAGTTAAAGACATGGGATTTGAATTCTAATCTGTCATCTGCTGCTAATTAATTTGTTTCCTTAGCTACCCAATGAATAGACTGATAGCATCTATAAGGTTGTTCCTACCTTTCAAGTTATGATTAGTGCATTTTGAAACTTAAATGTTCAGGAATTTAGTTTACATTTTTGATGTTTTTCCCCCTTCAAATTAATAATGAAATATTTAGAAGCATTACTAAAACTTATTTTAGGGGTGTGTGTGTGTGTGTGTGTGTATTTGATACTGGGGACTGAATGAGTATGTTGAGTATGCCAAGCAAGACTTCTACCCCTGAGCTATATCCCCAGCCCAATAAACTTTATTTGTGAGATAAGCAAATAGCTAACATAATTTTTAATCAAGGGAAAAAACAATATTTGGCCTATCTTATGTCCATCAAAAAAAAATTTCTCTGATGCTCCCTAAAGCTTTATTTATTTATTGGTACCAGGGATTGAACTCAGGGGTGCTTAACTACTGAGCCACATCTCCATCCCTTTTTAATGTTTTATTTAGAGACAGGGCCTCACTAAATTAATGAGGCTGACTTTGAACCCACGATCCTCCAGCCTCCCAAACTACTGGGATTATAGATGTGCCACTATGCCCAGCACTGCTTAAACTCTTTTGAAAGAATTTTTTTCCCCCCAGTACCAGGGTTCAAACCCAGGTCCATGCCTACAAGCCAAACCCTTAGCCCTCAGTAAACTATTGATGCCATTTAACACAATTATTAAATTGCAACTAAAGCCAGCATTCCTTGTCTGTGGGTTCTGCATCTGTGGATTCAACCAACCATGGATTAAAAATATTTTGGGGAAATAATATATCTGCATGAATTTTTCTCTTCGTCTCTTGTCATTCCCTAGACAATAAAACTATTTACATATACACTGTATTAGGTATTTTAAGTAATATAGAGATGATTTAAAGTATACAGGGGAATATGCACAGATTATATGCAAGATACTGTACTATTTTATATAAAATAATTGAGCATCTGCAGATTTTGGTATTCACAGGGATCCTGGATCCAATTCCTAATGGATACTAAGGGTCAATAGTATACTATTTTAATAGAATTAATGCAGGTAGAAAGTTATTAATATTTTTACAGAATCACATTAATCAATATTATCAATAATGAAAACATTATCACTAAAACTATAAAAAAAAAAAAAACCACAATTGTAGAGTATGGCCAACCTTACTTCAGCAGCACAGTTAATACTGGAGATAATTTTAGAATCTTAACGCCAATATTTACGTGCTGCTAAGGCACTGTTGACATTACTGTCATAAGAGCTATAAATAGAAAGAAATATATTTTCTTCGGAAGATCAGATCCTTGTATTTTTGAGGCAGCACAATATGGCCTGCACCTTTTCAAAATCCACAAACCATTATGTGCTGCTACTTTACTCCAAGGTTTTTTTTTTTTTTTAGACAAAAACAAAAACCACACATTAGCACCTAAAGAATAAAAAAAAGAATCCTTTTAGAAGAGAATACATTTTAAAAATCCATGTTTAAAGAATAAAACATTTGTATTATGTGCATAATTAGTTGTTTTTAAAAGCTTTTAAGTAGAATAAAGTTTATTTCTACATCAAAATTTCAATAAAATCCTTCTATATGCCCAACACAGTGCTGTAATAGGAAACACAAAGATGATAATAGAAAAAGAAATGGATTTTCTTTTTTAACTGTGCCAACTTAATAAGGAAATACAGGTAAATATTCAGTAAAACTTCTCAATGTATTCTATATATTAAGTTCTTTTTTTTCGGTACTGGGAATTGAACCCAAGGGCACTTAACAACTGAGTCACATCCCCAGCCAGTTTTTTATTTTGAGACAGGGTCTTGCTAAGTTGCTTAAGGACTCTCTAAATTGTTGAGACTGGCTTAGACTTGCAGTCCTTTTTTTTTTTTTCAGTCTCCCAATTCTCTGGGATTATAGGCATGAGTCACCCTGGCTCCTATTTTTTCCTTTTATTAGCAAAACAGTTAATCTTCACCTTGATAAGAGCAGAATTTACAAATAGCATTTTGTTCCTTGTAGTATATCTTTCAAAAGACATGTTTATCAGGGTAGATAAGACTTCATGTCAAGAGAAAAACATGAAATGACATGCAAAGAGCTCAGTTTCAATAAACTTAAGCTAGAAAAATACAAATTCACTTCCAAAGAAAAAGGCCAGGAGTCACATAAAATACCTAATACTAAATACAGTAAAAATATACAAAGCCCCAAATAAATCAAATTCTCCCTTAACGTTAGTTTTAAAAAATGTTAAATATTAATTCTCAATATTTATTGCCATATTAAAATAATTATTCTGAGTTATATATCATTTGATATAATGATCACCTAAAATATGAAGCCTTGGAGATGTATTAACTTGGTATCCAGAAAGGAGATATGAAACAAGAAATACTGTAGCTGTTGCTACCTATGCCTTACCTATCTCTACTCCATTCACCAGGCAAGGAAGCATATGCCCAAAGAGTTTCCACTTAGATCTAAGAATTACTTCTCTAAAGATACCAAAAAACCATCACTATCTCAAGTCTCAATAACCATTTTCCCCTCAATTTTCTCTTTAAAATGACTATGCTTGTAAAGCTACACTATTTCTATTACAGAATAAGGTTTATGTGTACAACCACAGCAGTGATTTGTCCCTCCATTATAATATTTAGTTCTTTTTACAAAGCACTGTCAAAAATTCCATGTTTTGTATTTTCCTCATTGTCAAAAAAGTAAATCTAACTAATCCCATAACTAAGAAACTAGTGCTTCACATATTTCTATTTTTGTCTCAAGTTTCTGCACATTTAAAAAATGTAACCAAAATAGATCTATTCCCAATGACTTACAACAAATATTTACATTTATCAATCACATAAAGGAAATTTATGCTTCCCTCATACCCATTTTCCAGATAAAAATTTAAACATATTTTCAAATATTATGTATACATAACTTTTTTTCATTAAACAAATATTTTATTGAATATCTACCATGTGCCAGGCACTGCCCTAGTTGGTTATGCTAGTTTACCAAAATATAGTCTCCTCTCAGTGTTGGCTAACCTTGTGAGATGGTCTCAATAAACAAACAAACAAATAAAATAAAAGGGATAGGGATGTGGCTCAATGGTAAAGCATCTCTGGGTTCAACTCCCAGGATAAAAACAACGAAAACCCAGCAAGAAAAAGAGTTTAAAGTCATTTATTAAAGTATAAGGCACAAAATCATGAAATAAGTGAAAAATTGTTCTTCAAGACAAGAGACTGCTTTTTGTCTCCATACAGTATATATATACATTAAATGATCACTCAAAAATCAAGAATCAATTGGGTCATTTTAATTCCAATTCTTTTTTGCATGTGTGCAAAGTCCATATTCCATATATATTCAATTAACCCAAAAGCACCAAAATTGAAAGAAATAAATATAAATGTTCATGTTAATGTCAATGTTTTATAAGCTTTAAAAAATATTTCACAGGAAGAATGTTCTCACTACTTTTTAAAACTGTGGTTAAATACACATCAAAGTTACCAATTTAACTATTTAAAGGTACATGATTCTGGGGCTGGGATTGTGGCTCAGTGGCAGAGTGCTTGTCTCACACATATAAGGTACTGGGTTCGATCCCCAGCACCACATAAAAATAAATAAATAAAATAAAGGTATTGTGTTCATTTACAACTAAAAAAAATTGCATAATTCTGTGGCATTAAGAACACTCATGCCAGATGTGGGTGGCATATGCCTGTAATCCCAGTGGCTCAGGAGACTGAGGCCCTAAAAAACTTAGCAAGACCCTGTCTCAAAATAAAAAGGACTGGAAATGTGGCTCAGTGGTTAAGTGCCCCTGGGTTCAATCCCTGTTACCTCCCACCCAAACCAAACAAACAAACAAAAAAAAAACAATTACATTACTGTGCAGTCACTGTCACCCTCCATCTCCAAAACTTTTTCATATTCCCCAATACTATGTCCATTAAACACTAACTGTCCATCACTCCTGACTCTTAGCCCCAAGAAATCTTCATTCTACTCCTATCTCTATGAATTTGACTATTCTAAGTATTTCATATAATTGGAATATAGTATTTGTCCTTTTATATGTGGGATTTTATACTTCATATAACTTTTTCAAGGTTCATCTATGTTGAAGCATGTATCAGAATCTTTCCTTTTTATAGCATTCCATTTTATGTATATGCTATATTGTTTGTCCATTCAT